ACTCTGATTCATATTTTCACATCTTTACAAGCCTGAATGAGATCATAGTCATTTAACTAGGATAGAAGGCTCAGTGCCACACTTTCTTACCTAAGTGGCCAAGATTTGATTCTCTAATCAAATTCACTTCTGGCTTATAAGAAAAATAATCCAGATTGATTTGCCTGTGCAGATGACATATCATAGGATGAAGGATGCATTGATACAGATGATTAAGGGTGTACTAAAGGAACCTACTGCAGTTCTAGTTGTCGTCTTGTTTGGTGATAGACCTCCAACATTGTCAAAGAAAGATGTTACATTCACCCCTTTCTACTCCATCCTTGATCACTCTCAGCCTTAGGTGCATAATGGTATGTTTCCCAATGCAACAATGGTTATCCTGCACGTTTGCTACATCTAGTTTTGGAAAGTCCACTCAATGCACGGGTTAGCCCTCATTTTTTAAGACAAGTTGAACAATAGGAAATTCTCTTAATGATTGCTATTGTTAGTTTCTACTTTCTAAAGCTGTTTTCCATTTCTCTGTTTGCTACCAATATGGAATGAATCTCTCAGCTATCTTATAATTTATTTTGAGTTTGGCTTCAAAGTAGACAGGGCTAATGGGGAAAACATAAAGAGATGTTCTTCCTGCTCACAAGGTGAGGACTCAAATAAATAGTTTGGAGCTCTAACATTTTTGCTGGTTTTCGTGCAATAGTTATACTTTTCCTTTGTGTACTGTTAGCATATTGGCTTTCATTATAACGTGAGCTAGACAATAATTCCCTTCTATTAATGTGTTTAAGTGAGATTGTTCTGTTTTGTACAAAAGTTCAGATTGTGGAGCTTGTGAATCTTAAACAAGTTAAAAGTTTGATTCTTAACAACCATGAATGTAATAAAACTAGCATAATTCTGAAGAATGAGAACCATACTTCCTGACTTGACATTGATTCTGTAATCAAATTTTATTAGGACTTACTGATTTAAGCTCTTAAATTTGTGGAAGATACATGATTGATCTACTTAAGATATGACATGGATTAAAAGAAAGATGAAGACAACACACTAAATGAAGGTGAAGCTGAGATTGATTTTTCACATACAAAGAGACTAGACTTAAAGTGGAGTCCATTGTGACTATTACATTACCCCATATGCTGCCCAGGTACCAAACAGTGAACTGTGCTCTGGTTAATTGTCTAGTTTATATACTTTGTAACTTGCTTAATAAAGTGAGGACCAAAATACTAGCTAGATATTTACCCTTCCTCTACTCCCATTTCTTTTGCAATATGACCAATATATGATGTTTTGTTTTTTAAAATTCCAAACATATTTCAGGTTGTCTAACTAAAGATGTTGAGAAGCAATGAGGACTGGCTAAAAGGATGTAAAGATCCCAACCGTTGATGGGTGTCCAAGGTCGAGACAAGGAAGCCACTATGATTTCACTGGTTTGATCAAACTCTACCAAAGAGGTACTCTAAGCTACAATTCTAAGTTCTAACTATTTTTTCCTTTTTTGGATTCTATATTGAAAATAAAATTGTGGCATCTTAAATATGTTTAGGTGGGGTTTTCAAGTGACTGCAGGCGAATGATGTGGCTGTGACTCGAGCAAGAAGATAGTGTTGCCTCATCTGTGATTTGGAAACAATAAGTGACAGATTCTTAAAGCAATTCATGGAGTACTTTGAGGAGCATGGCCAGTATCTAAGGAGCTCTGAATACTGCAATGAATACGTAAAGAGCTTGAAGGAATAAGATACTTTGTCCCCAGCTCAGGGCATTTCAGTTTATTACTTAATCTGGTACATCTGTATTCAGGAGCTCAGGAAAATAGGTAGTAGGATGTTCTTATAAAGATTAATTTCTATTTGTTGTTATTTGTCTAGAAAGTCATCAGAAAAATATGATGCGAGACATTCAGATCATCTTTGTTCTATTATTTTTGAAACTAAGGGAAGAAGGCCTTGGAAGGGCCTGAAGAAGTTTTAAAAACAAAGGGGTGGAAAGAATGGAATAAAAACTTAAAACCCCCTTTTTGGGTGAAAAAAAAGAAAACTAATTTGGGAAACGCAATTGAAAATGGAAAGGTGGGAGAAAAAAACAAATGCAAAGTGGCCAAAATTTAAGCCAACAAAAAGTAAAAAATTAGGGTAAACTTTGAACAACAAAAAAAAAAAAGGTCGGAAATGAAAGAAAAGGCAAAAAAAAGCAAGGAAAAGAGTGACTATTATTTGATTGAATTATAGAAATTGACTATTGAAACATTTGTTTCGAAGGAAAGAAGGTGAAATAAAGGGAGAGGAGGTGATTTTCTTTCAATCAATGGAATTAAGCTGTTAGAGTAATGAACGAAATAATTTGATTGATTATAATTATTTTTCTTCCCCTCCTCTACTGTCTTTCAGACCAAATAAAATGTTGTGAAGTAATCAAAATCTTGCCAAAAGTTGAGGACTAGAGTAATATTTTACACATTTTAGTAAACCTCTTAAAAGAGGGAAATTCTCTTATTCCCTCCCTCTAAACTAAACAGCAACAACAGAAGCGAAGCAGTAATGGCTATGGTGGGAGACAAGACGAAGAAGGAATCGACTGCTGTGACTTTGCAACAGTTCATCTCCAATACGACTCCTTTAATCGATTTGGAGAAGGTTTTTTTTCTTCCCTTCTAAATTCTCTGTTTCGATTTTTCGAACTCTATCTCACTTTCGGTTGCTATTGGGTCTAGGTTTTCATTAATTTTTATCGCCAATCCAGCAATGGGTGTCTCCGTAATTCGTCTTCCCAATCATCCGGTACCAAAAAGTTGAAGAGTTTTCGTGAATGAAAACGCACATATTGGTTGATTATTGTTTAAATTGTAATGCTCTTCCGGTGAGCTTAGTAATGAACTGTAAAATGACGCAATGGTGAGGGTAGCATTTTTCTTTTCTCTTTTTTTTTTTTAATAAAATATCAAAAAATAAGAAAAAGTGGATTTCTTTTAAAAAATAAAAAGTCAGAAGAATGATGTAAAGAAAAAAAAAAAGAGAGAGAAGAAAATAAGTTTAAGTTCAAGAATTAGAATGCATCCATGCATAATATAGAGAAATTGTAATGAAATTTACTAGCAGGTTACTATGTTGTTGCTGGATTTTTTGTGATTCTTTTTATAGGGGACATAGTTTCACTTCAAAATACCTGATTAGCCTAGCGCCTAATCCTGCCTAGGCATGTTTAATTGTGCCTAACCATGCCTAGGTGCACTTTATCTTTTCATCCTTGACGCATACAATCGTTTACAACCACTGCCTAAATGTTTTCTGCAATACTGCTTATTTGCAACATTTTGGTTCTTGTTGTGTAGGAAGCTGAGATATCAGCCTCTTATCTCTTCAGGCGCATCAAGAAACTTGGATAGTGCTCAAAAGAGGGGCTCCACTATTCTGAATTTGAAGTGTGTTGATGTTCAGGTTGTATATTATATGAATTATGCATGGTTTTGCAGGGAAAAAATTGTCTGCATAATTATTTATTTATTCAGCTCAAATAAGCATGATTTCGTATATTAGTTATGGTAAACTCTTTTTTTTTTTTTTATTCATGTTTGCTACCAAAATGGAACATTGAATCACTCAATTATCTTATAATTTGTTTTGTGTTTGGTTTTCAAAGTAGACAGGGTTGATGGAGAAAACACTGCTTGAGTTTCAACCCACCAAAGGAGATGTCCTTCCTGCTCACAAGGTGAGGAGTAACAGTGGCAAGATGGTTTCTGGTGCAATATTTGTACTTTTCTTATTTTATGCACTGTTAGCTGATTCTATTCCTTACATCTCCAAATTCTAAACACATAAGAATGGTTTTTGGTTTTGCAATTTTCAAGCCATTATGATATTTAGTGTAGTTCACCAAGTGAATTAAGTTGAATGAAAAATGGATTTGAGTGAAAATGTTCTAATATTATTATTCTGGAAAAGTGAAATATATTAAGTGATTATTTTTAGTTTTAGGAAGAAATAAAAAGGATTGTAATTGCTTTGGGCTAATTGTTATTTTAAATTTCTGATACAATGTGTAACTGAAAGTAGACCCTACTTCAGCCTGTAGTTTTATACCTCAGTCTTATTTTTCTGTTTTATTCATTTTCAATTAATGAGAAACATTCATCAAATATCTCTTGGCCTATCACTATTGAAAGTTCACAATAATTGCTCCATTCAAGGAAAATGATGGGAGTTGTCTCTTATTTTGTCTTGTTTCTAAAACCCTTTTCCAGTATTGAAAGAGATTTTGGAGTTCTAAATGTTAATTAATTTTGCAATGCAGTTTGGTACCCATGATGTAGTTCTATTAAAACTGAACAAAGCTGATTCAGGATCTCCTGCACTTGGGCAAGGTATAGTTTACTGGCTGAAGGTGATTGGGACTCTTAATTCTTAAATGAGACTTTGGGTTATTACTTTTTGAGTTTGTTGTTTCTAGTTACCTGTAATTCCCTGAAACTCTTGTGCTGCTGATTTCATGTGCATATCGAGCTGGATTCCTCAATCACTGTTGCTTTTGATGACATCCCAGATGAAGGTTTGAATAGTCCCTTACATCTGGAAAAAGTGGCCAATGAGTTATGCAACTAAGATTCTTCAATCAATTCTTTGCTTTACACTGGCTTTACTCTTATGTGTAATATAGACAAGAATTCCCCTGACTTTTATGTGTTCAAGTAAACTTGAATTCTGCTTATTGTATCACAGAATTACTTTTCAGTTCTTTATTCTATCTGAAGAATTCTCCGTGTTAACCTTGGGAATCATATAGAAGTCAACTTGGATTCATGCTGTCCCATCTTTAAAAGCCTGAAGCAGATCAAAGTCATAGAACTAGTACACAAGGCTCAGCACCATACTTTCTTAGAGATTAAGTTTATAAAAAAAAATAATTCAAATTAATTTCTGTGCAGATGACATATCGTAGGATGAAGGATGCCTTAATCCAATTGAGTAAAGGTGTACTGAAGGGGCCTGCTGCAGATCTATTTCCTGTCTTGTTTGGAGAGAGACTGCCAACATTTTCAAAGAAGGATGTCATGTTCAGCCCTTTTAACTCTAACCTTGATCACTCTCAGGTGTGTAACTATATGCTTTCTTAATGCTTTTGCATTTCGGACAATAAATGGTTCATTAACTTTTACCTTTTTACTCTTTGTTTTTTTATTTTTTGGTGGGGATCAGTTCTCTATTTTAGAAAGGAAGGCACTGTCAATTCCTGTTGACAAATTAACTTAATTCAGTTTCTTGCACTTTCTTATTCAAGAAAGATGCCATTTCAAAAGCCCTGTCATCAAAGGATGTATTTTTGCTGCATGATCCTCCTGGTACTGGGAAAACTACTACAGTAGTGGAAATTATCTTACAAGAAGTGAAGCGTGGCTCAAAGATTCTTGCTTGTGCTGCTTCAAATATTGCTGTTGACAACATTGTTGAATGACTTGTTCCCCACAGGTAAAGTGGACAGTAATATACAGGAAGAATGATATGTGCATTCAACCCTCAGTATTAAACCATTAAAGAAGTGTTTTTGTATTTCAGATTGAGAACCACACCACTTTAACCTCTTATCTTCTTACACTGCGGTTCTGTTGGACTTATAAGGTTTGGTTAGCTTTCTATTTTTGAAAACTAAAGTTGATAAAATTTGTATGGTTCAGCTTTCATTAGGACTTGCTTTTGCTGAGTCTATCAAGGTTGAAACGAGTTTTCATCAGATACTGGCCTGGGTGTTGCCATAGGCTAATAGGAATAAAAACCTCGTGTCAGTCCATCCTTTGCTTGAATGTGAAATAAATATAAAATAAAAACAAAGATATTAAATAATATCTTAAAAGAATAAATAATTAAATTTAAATATATCAAATTGAGAGTTAGGTCCATTGAAATTGAATAAAGAGAATAAATAATTTAAAAAACATACTTGTGTTGTTGAAGAATTAATATATATGCTATGTTATTTGATTTTTTAAAGTTTAGATATTTTGTGACAACTTTTTCAATAACACTTTAATATTACTTTTTTGATGGTTAGGTTTCTGTAAATTAAGGGTTGCTCAATGTTTTTTTTTTTTTTAATTGTTATGAGTTTAAATTTCCTTGACCTATAAAAGTATTCCAATTAAAAGAGAACAATTTTTAAAGAGATTAGTGTTTATTAGTTAAATTTATAAAATTAGGTAAAAAATACTAAAAATATCATTTTAATAAAGTATTTTAAAAAAATTAAAACAATTTCATTTCTCCTTTAAAAACTAGAATGTTTGAGTCTTTTTAACGAAGATTTGTTAAAATAATATAATTCTGAGATATTTTTTCACTTATTTTTTGTAGATAGGAACTGAAACATTTTTTTTCATCTTTAAAATCTCAAAAATTTTTTCTACTTTATCATTATTCCTAATCTTCTAGTTAATATATATTTAACAATATAATCTAATGACTTATTTAAGGAGCCATATTGCATCCCTGATGAAGCGGAACAATTGAAACTTGTAAACACTAAATAAATTTTTAGAGGTAGATGTGATATTTTAAAAGAAAATAATTGGTACAACATATTTTTTTTATATTATTTTATTTCAGTTATTAAAATATAATATAAATATAATTAATTTAAGTAGTTCTTGCATTATATATATGGTTGTATTTTTAAATTTATTTATTTTTAATTTTAAATTAAAAAATAATAATTTTTTATTAAATGTATTATGTAATATATTAAATTGAAATGTATATAGATTACTATCCTATTTTAAAACAATATAAAAGGCCTTTATCTGCATATGAGTCTTAATTCTATAACAAAATCTCTTTAGATTAAAATTAAACTCAATTAAACTGACTCAGAAACGGGGAAAAGGAAACAAAATAATAAACGCAAAGTAACAGCAACAAAAAAATTAACAGGGGGAACCCAGAAATACCTTAAATTGGCCAATGACCATCAGAAAAAAAAATCTCAAAAAATAATTAGCCAAATGAAAAAATGTAGACAAAAAACAAAAATGACAAAGAGAATTTACCTAATAATCATAGAAAATCTCCTAGTGCCACCTGAAATCATGGATTGTCATTTTCTTAAATCTAACTGAAAAACAGGAAAAAAAAGGGTAAAAAAAGATGATTTAAAATTTTAAAAATTCAAACCCAGGAAATTAAGAAGTTTTCTGTTTTTCGTCCGTCGTAAATTAATAAACTTTTTTTAATTAAAATTTTATTTTATAATAATAATTTTTTATATTTTTAAAAAATAAATATTTTTAATTTAATTATTTTTTAGTTTTAATTATTTAACTTATCATTTGGACTTAGGCCTAAAATTAAGAAGTAATTATAAAATTTAGGCGTTCCAAAAAAATATGTATTGAGTATTTTTTAAATTAGTTTGTTGGGTTTGAATTTTTAGTGCTAGGTAGATATACTGAATGCGGTCGTCTTCTTCCCCATGCTCTACCCACGCCTCCCATTTATCTTCTTAACTCCAAGAATAGGACACAAGCCCACTTGAAGATGCCTCAGCAAGCCCACAATGGTCCCCATCTGTCATCTTCGTCTCACATTCCCAGAAAAAAAAAAAAAAAGGACCCCATATGGGCAACATTTTGTCCATCCGTGTGCTACATTAGAGAGAGGTTGGGTTGGCTATTCGCAAGGAAAGGTGGGGATGAATTGATGAGGATCGGAAGGCCGTGAGTGCGGGAGACTTTGGGTTTTCTTAAAATTTCTTCACCTCTATAAATTCGGAGATTGTGGGGAGTTATGGGGGACTTTCTGGGTTGAGCCGACGGTGGAGGGGCGGAATAAAATCGAGCAAAAAAACAAAAAAGAGAGGAAAATGTTTTTTAATTAATTAAATTATAAGAATTTTTAAATATTATAACCTGTAAAATATAAAAATATAAAGTTGTTAAATAAACTAAAACCAGATCAAACTGACGGTAAATATAGCTTAAATTTGAAGTCCAAGCATATAAACACATTCTGCCCGATAAATTCACAAGAACCAAAGTATTTGCAGCTCAGTTATCAAAAGGATTTATTTTTTGTTTTGTTTATTAAGATTTAATTTTTGAGAATGTAGAGTTTAATAAATAAGTAATTTTTCTTTTATAAATTTTATAATTCAATGTGAATGATTTATCTTTAAATAGATTAAAGAAAAATTAATCTTAAAGTATGTGTGAATTAACTTAAAAATATATTATCCATTAAAAAAATCATAAAAGGTCCAAATTTATCTATAAATAAAGTCTAAACAAATTACAGAGGTACACACCCGCAGCACTTGATGCAGTGGATAGGGTGTGTATATTCCAAGGCTATGACCTTGGTTCTAATCCCCCCTCCCCCAAAATTCCCC